TGCACTGTAAAAGAGAGCGTTCCGTTTATTGAAAGGCGCACCCGCATCAGCAGACCGACGGGGTGATGACGGCTTGCCTGTGTGGCATCCAACGTCGGCTCAACCCCATTCACTGCTGGGACTTGAGGGCCTTGGCCTTCTCGAGCAGGGTGGTGAGCTCGCCCGAGCGGAGGTGCTGGAGGGTGATGTCACACCCGCCTACGAACTCGCCACCGATGAAGACCTGCGGGATCGTCGGCCAGTCACTGCACACACACACACACACACACCGAGCAGGCTTGAGTCATGGGCCCAAGCGAGGTGAATTCTTTGGTAAGGGGCTGAGAGAAGAGGCAGCTGAGCGTACGTGAACTTCTTGATGCCATCTCTCAGCTCAGCGCTCTGCAGGACATCGAAGGCCTCGTAGTGGGCACCTGTCGGCCAGTGACATGGTCAGTCGACTCCATCCACCGCAGCAGCGCGGAGACGCGTAAACGGAGGGCCTTGATGGTGGCCGTACCCACGGTGTTGAGGGCCTTGATGGTGGCGTTGGAGAAGCCGCACTGGGGAGCATCGGGGGTGCCCTTCATGAAGACGACGCACGGGTACTCCGAGACCACCTGGACGGCACGGGTTAGCGTCAATGCTTCAGGCCGAGAGGGTGGCAGGAAGTTCAGACGGACCTTCTTGATGGCATCCTGCACGGAGTCGGTGGCGACCTCGCTGCCGACCTCCTTGTTGTCGTCGGTGGTGTACCACCGCTGCTGGCGAGGAGCAATGGGGGCATAGGAGCAGGGCGAGGAGACGGAGCGGAGCGAAAGGAGAGCGGCGCGGGAGGTCACCACCGAGCGAGAGCGGTTCAGTGCCGTCGAGAAGAGACGACGCTGCGCTGTCGAGCGAACGGCACCACGCATGGCAAGGGAGGAAGTGGCCTAAATAGAGCAAGTCAGGCCAATTGTTATCATCAAAATCGATCGCATTTTGATGATAACGGTTTGCGGAGGATGTGAAGCGTTGATTGCTCAAGCTCCACATCCCAGCGCCCAACGTAGGGCGTAAAGGTACCTTTTGCATCTTCTTTGTAATTTGTTGTGGCCACGTGTGATTTTCTTGATCTCTGGATTTCGTATCCTTTTTTCGTTTCCTTTTTTTAATTTTTTTAACTTCTTTTTGGGTTTCAAACGAAACTCAAAATCTACCAACAGCGAAACATTCCCAAAGCTTTCGAAACAGCCTCATCTGGCTCAGAGCGCTCCACACTCACGGTGAGCAGGTGATGGAGCGTTCGTTCAGCGATGGTGGCAGGATTGGGGGCACGCGGCCGACTGAGGATCGCCAGCGAGGTGCCGAGAAAAGGGCGGGTTCGCAAAGAAAACCGATGGAACCCACCGGTCGCTAACTCTCCCTGATTGGAGCGCCCAATGGGCAGCCACCTATTTGAATGCAATGCTGCCCGCCCATTTACAACAAAAACGCTCACTTGCTGTATCAGCCACCCACCCCCCTTGTGCGACGTCGCCAGTCAGACGCCCGACCAACCCACCGCGCGCATCATGTCGACCACCTATGTAGAGACCGCACCCATGGGCCACCAGTCATACCACCAGGCCAGCTACCCTCGCGATGAGGTCCGAGCCTATCGCTTCGTCGATGGGGAAGGTAAGCCCACGTCGTTCGTCTTTGAGGAGCTGCAGACGTGCTGAAGCTGGTGTCAACGTGTGATGGAGCAGGACGAGCATTCTGGCGCGATCCGTGGGAGGGATCCGGCCACTACTTCCGAAGGGGCGAGGAGGACGTGGTGCCGGCAATCGTGCTGTACATGCTCTTCTTCCTTATGGTCACCTCCATGTTCATCTTCTGTTTTGGTCAGCTCATGACCTCCTCTGGATGAGGCAAACACAGAACTGCAAATTTGATAGGCAAATTTGTACCATACCCCAATAAATAAGTTGTACATACACCAACCCACGCTCGGGGTCATCAAGACTGCGTTCTTCGCCTTCATCCGATCTCGCTCTCTCTCTCTCTCCCTCACAGATAGAACAGTTGTTTCTGACGTCTCGTTCTCGTCCTGCTCTGCAGGTTCATCATGGGCTTCTTCTGCTGGTTTCCGTGGCTGTGTGGTTGCTGCTTCCTGAGATCTCCCTCACCCACGGCCAGAACCCTCGGCTTCGCCTCCTTCTTTCTCTTCTTGGTCTTCTTCCCTCTCCTCATCTTCTTCTCCACCTGGGGCACCCACCCGGGGTGGTACGAGCACTAGAGCCCAATAAGCGGGCCTCTCCAAGCACCATATCGCCATGTCTCCACGTCATCACATCGCATCGTGTACCTTCATACGCCCTGCTCCTCTTGTACAGCCTCTTCACAAAGAATGTGCATTGGGTCCCAATCAGTCCAAACCGGACCAGTTATCCATCGCAGAACTGTGAACGATCACACGACCACAACCCAGATAAGTGACAAGCAGATCCAGGTGGGAGACCTCCTCCCCAGCACTCCTCCGAGTGGCCCGCTCTCCGCGTTCAACTCTGACCTCAACATTCGCGCACCTAAAAGGCAAGAGGGAGAAAAGAAGTGGAAATGAAGAAACTGGCAGGTTGCACAAAACCTAACCTCGCAAATCGATTGCGTTTGCATCTTGGTCTTCGCGCAAACGTTGGTTCGGGTTGTGCTTCCACTGCGAGAAAGAGGATGGAGAGCACGAACCCTACGAGCCAAGAGCTGGGTGAGGGTAGCGGAACGGGATCAGCTGGACTGCAGCTGCAGCGGGCCGTGTTCATCAATGAGCCCTCTACGTACGTGCACCAGAGGCTCATGCTTGCTTTCCAGAAGCGGTACGCCTTATCTGCCCAGCGAAATCGGAATTTTTAAATCGAGGGGAATTAAATCTCATCTCGTAATGATTCTAATCAATTTAAATCAAATTAATAATTCAACTGTAGGAAGGACTGGCGCATCGTCGAATCAGCGGCCGACGAAGCGTTGGACGTGCAATGGGACGTCTACGAGAACGTCGACTGGGACCGCGTGCTGAAGGGCCGCCTCATGGCCAACTTCTACTGCTTCCGCAAGGGTGAGCATTCCCCTATTCCATCCCGGCCACCTGCAGTCACCCACCACCTGTGCTGGTTCTGGCAGGTCTCACGCGAAAGGCACAGCTCGCGTTCTACCTCAAGAAGTATTGTAGCAAGCGACCCAGCTCGCCCCTGGTACTTACTATGTTTGCGTCCTGTTCTTGTTTCTTCTCCTTGATGCGCGCACTGACTTCGCTGCGATCCCGCCGATGGGCGGCGGTGCGAGACAGGTGCCGTGCGTGCCCAAGACCGTCATCCTGGACATCAACCCGGAGCAGGTAGACTGGTGCTTGGTCGACGCCAGGGAGGCCTTCGAGGAGGAGAAAGAACGGAGTGCGTGGCGCCCCTCTTCCCCCTCCAACGATGCAGATGCACAGAGTACCGCCATGACTGACCCCACACACCGTGCGGGTGCGATCAGCCGGCAAGACTGGGTTGTGGATTCTGAAGCCGTCGCTGGGCGATAAGGCCGCAGGCATCATCATCCTTAACAACCTCAAGAAACTCAAGGAGACGGTTATGAAGGACAAGGACCTGGTACGCTACACTGGTATCACGTGATGCGATTCGAATCCAATACGTGTGCTGATGATCTTCGTCTTGGATCTGGCGAACAGGTCGAGTGGGTGCTGCAAAAGTATGTCGAGAAGCCGCTGCTCGTCAACAAAAAGAAGTTCCACCTCCGAGTGCACGTTCTTGCCGTCGGCAGGTACCGGGCAGTTTCCTTCGTGTGTGTGCCATGCTGTCTAGAGCCTGACCCTCTTGCCGGGCCGGCTGCGCAGGTTGAAGGTGTATGTGCATGAGGACGTGATTGCGCTGATCGCCATGGACGACTACATCATTCCCGAGAAACCAAAGGAACCAGACGCCCCGGTGGCTGAGCCGACGGAGTCGGTTCAAGAGGAGGAGCCTAAGGAAGGCGCCAGCGGTAAGTGCCTTCGCTCTCTTGCTCCACGCGAAGGCGGTGTGCTGATGATAGCGACGACACGCCCGGCGTTCATGGACAGGGCTGAGCAAAAAGGCGCAAAAGAACGCGAGAAAGAGGGCCAACAGAAAGAAGAACCAGAGGGAGCGCAGGAAGGCCGATGAAGAGGACATGCCCGAGCTTTCCCTCTACGGCCACATCACCAACTCGTGCCTGCAGAGGGACCACCCGGGCTTTGACGAAGACGCAACCGTGCGACTACTCAGTGAGCTCGTTAAAGAACTGGGCGAAGAGGCACGATTTCTCCTTCCCCTTCCCCTCGCCTTTGTGTGAGCGCTCGCGTCAACCGCTAACGCGTTACGATCATCGCCACCATCAGGCGGTGAAGACGATCTGGGAACGAGTCAAGGTGAACGTCAAGGAGACGTTTGCGGCTTTCAGGGGTAACTGACCTGTGCTCCCTCGCTTCTTTTTCTCCGCGCCAAAGTATACTGGTGCTGATGATGTGATGGTGTAGGTGAGTTCAGCGCGTTCATGCCTCTGCCCAACTGTTTCGAACTGTTCGGATTCGATTTCCTGGTCGATGAGAACCTCAATCCCATCATCTTGGAGGTTCGTTGCTCTTTGACGCCAGCGGATGCTTGGGGTCACTCACTGTTTTCCCCATTTCGTGCTCTCTTCAGGTGAACTGTGGCCCCGACATGAAGAACACCGGAAGCAGGCTGGACCACGCCGTCGTGTCTTTCCTTGATGACACCCTCGCCGCCGCTGTCGATCCCTACTTCGACCCCGGTACACAACCGCCATCATCTGAGCATGTGCTGTGTGTCTATCTGATCATTCAGCTCACGCCTCCTCCTTGCGCAAACAGAACTGGCGAAGCAGAGGGAAGCAACGGAGAAGGAAATGGAGAGCCAGATCGGGCGGCTTCAC